TCCCCTGCACTGGCAGGCAGATTCCCAACCACTGTACCACCAGGGAAGTCCCTATGATTTTTTTTTTAATGCAGTCTAATTGTCCCTGTACGGAGGCAAACCTTTTCAACTTGTAGCTGCTGCTTCTGCCGTTTACTTCAGTGTATAAATAACATACCTATTAATCTGTTGTCTTCCTCTACCATGGTTCTCAAACTTTAGCATTGCTAAACTTGTTAAAACAGATTACCCACCCCACCCCTAGAGCTTCTGAACCAGTGGATCTGGGCTGGGACCCCAAAATTTGCATTTTTAACAAGTTTCCAGATGCTCCACACACACTGGTCTGGGACCACGTTTTGAGAACCACTCTAACACCCCATAACCTCTCACTGGAGCTCTGTCAATTTGGTTAAACGGCATCCATGTTTACATTATTATTATTGCCAATATTTCATGTTACATCATTATTCACAGCATTGCCCCTCAGTTACTGTTATTCATATGCTTTTTGTTTAATCTTTTCTTCCAGTTTTAGTGATATAATTGATATACATCACTGTATAAGTTAACAGTGTACAGCATAATGGTTTTGACTTGCATGTACTGTTAAATGATTACCGCTATAAATTTAGTTAGCATCCATCATCTCATATAGATATAATAGAGAAAAAAATTACTTTCCTTGTGATGTTACCTCTTAGGATCTACTCAGTAGTTTTCATATATATTATACATGTGTTAGCTGTAGTCATCGTGCTGTACATTACCTACCAGTACTTATTTATCATGCAACTGGAAGTTTGTCATGCAAATCGAGTTTTGACCACCTTCCTCCTATTCCCCCTCCCCCACACACTGCCTCTGATAATCAGGAATCTGATACCTTTTTCTGTGTTTGGTTTTTTGGTTTTAGATTACACATCCAAGTGAGATAGTACAGTTGTCTTTCACTGTCTTACTCTTTTCACTGAGCATAATGCCCTCAAGGTCCATATATGTTGTCACAAATATCAAATATTCTTTGTTTTCTATGGCTTAATAATACTCCATTTTATGTGTGTGTGTGTATATTTATATATAAATACAACTTAATTATTCACCCCTCTGTTGATGGTCAGTTAGGCTGTTTCCATGTATTGCTAATTGTAAATACTGCTGTTATGAACTTGGGGGGTCAAATGTCTTTTCAAGTTAGTGGGGTTTTTTGTTTTTTGGGGTTTTTTTTTTTGTTTTTAACATCTTTATTAGGGTATAATTGCTTTACAATGGTGTGTTAGTTTCTGCCTTATAACAAAGTGAATCAGTTATACATATACATGTTTCCATATCTCTTCCCTCTTGCCTCTCCCTCCCTCCCACCCCTCCAGGCGGTCACAAAGCACTGAGCTGATCTCCCTGTGCTATGTGGCTGCTTCCCACTAGCTATCTACCTTACGTTTGTTAGTGTATATATGTCCATGCCTCTCTCTTGCCCTGTCACAGCTCACCCTTCCCCCTCCCCATATCCTCAAAAGTTAGTGTTTCATTTCCTTTGGATTTATACCCAGAAGTGGAATTGCTGGATCATATGGCGGTTCTATTTTTAATTTTTTTTAGTTTGTTTTATTGAAGTATGGTTTATTTACAATGTTGTATTAATTTCTGCTTTACAGCAAAGTGATTCATTTACACATATATACATGTTCTTCTTCGTATTCCTTTCCATTATGGTTTATCACATGATATTGAATATACTGCCATGTACTATACAGTAGGACCTTGTTGTTTGTGCATTCTATATATAATACTTTGCATTTCCTAATCCCAGACTCCCAATAGATCCCTCCCACACCCCCCATCCAGCTTGGCAACTCCAGCTTGGCAACCAGAAGTCTGTTCTCTAAGTCTTGGAGTCTGTTTCATAGGTAATTTGTCATATTTTGTTTCACATGTAAGTGATATCATATGGTATTTGTCTTTCTCATCATGACTTACATCACTTGATATATCTACGTCCACCCATGTTGGTAGAAGTGACATTATATTGTTCTTTTTTATAATAATAATACCATTGTATATATGTAGCACATATTCTTTACCCATTCTTCTGTCAGTGGACATTTAGGTTGTTTCCATGTCTTGCCTATTCTAAATAGTGCTGCTATGAACATAGGGGTGCATGTACTTTTTCCAGTTATACTTTTATCTACCTATGTGGCAAGGAGTGGGACTGCCGAATTATATGGTAGCTGTGTGTTTACTGTTTGAGGAACCTCCATTCTCTTCTCCATAGTAGTTATTACCAGATCACAGCCCCACCAAAAACATAGGAGGGCTCCCTTTCCTCCATGCCCTCTGCTACATTTATTGTTTGTAGACTTTTTGTTCATGGCATTTTGAGTGGTGTGAAGTGATGCCTCCTTGCAGTTTTGATTTCCAGTTTTCTAATATTAGGAATGTTCAGCATCTTTTCATGTGCCTCTCTTTTTAACACTATGAGTAAAATGTACCTCTGGATATTGGCCTCCTAAAACTGGGCCCTGTTTTGAATTCCTTTCCTATTACCTGCTCCTGGGCATTTCGTGACAGCAGGGGTCTTTACAGGCTCACAGGCTTTGAGAATATGAAGTTCCCCTGAGCACCTGCTTTAAAGTTGTTGTTACTGGAAACGGCCAAAAGGCGGCAGGATCTTTTCATGCCCAGCTCTGGTTACACCTGCATGTACAGCCTAAGGGGAAGTCGTGTTCCTGGGTTGTGAGTTAGTGGAATGTGTCAGCACAAACACCCAAGGGCTTGTATCTCATTACTTCATTTCCCCCCTCCCAGACAGGTCCTAACCCCTGCAAAACCCCAGTGCTGAGGGTGCTGTCCTACATGGGTGGGGTGACCCTAATGAAGGCAGCTGAAGGTGGGAAGGCCACCACCAGCAGACGTGGAGGCTAGGAGACTATTCAGAGCTCTTCCTGGCCAGAGGGTCCACCATCCTCTGGGTGCACTAGGTTGGCTTTAGCTGCGGGGGCGGGGGGGGGTCTGCCTGGATCTGGAGATTGTGGTGACATCCCCAGGGGACCAGACACTCCAGGTCCAAGGCGGGCTCATTTGCTGGTACATCCTCCCCAGCTCCCTCAGGCCCAGAACACTCCAGCCTTGTGTTGCTGGCTGCCCAGGCTCCAGGGGTGTGACAGTAGCCCAGGTTCCCCAAGCCAACACGGAATAGAGGAGGCATTTTTCTCTTTTTATTGTATTTTCTTTTTACTTCTGATTTTAGTTTGGAGTGTTGTACATTTACAGTGTTGTTTTTGTTTCCGGTGTACAGTGACGTGTTTCAGTTATGCAGATACATATATCTGTTCTCTCTCGGATTCTGTTCCCCTATTGGTTGTGACAGATTGTTGAGTAGAGTTCCTTGTGCTCCACAGAAAGTCCTTGTTGATTATCCATTTTATAAATATTAGTGTGTACAGGTTAATCCCAACCATGGCATTTGTCCCTCCCCCCATACTTTCCCCCTTGGTAACCCTAAGTTTCTTTTCTACGTCTGTGAGTCTGTTTCTGTGTTGTACGTTAGTTCACGCCTATCAATTTTTAGATTCCACCTCTTCATGAAATCTTATCTGTTCTTCTCTGACTTGCTTCACTTAGTATGGTCTCTAGGTCCCTCCACCTTGCTGCCAATGGCATTATTTTTCTTTTTTATGCCTGAGTGTCCATTCTATTGTATATATGTACCACGTGTTCTCTCTCCATCCGCCTGTGGATGCAGATTGTGGTTGCTTCCGAACCTTGAGTGTTGTAGGTCTTGCTGTAGTCAGTGAATGTGCAAGTGTTGGCTTTCCAAGTATGGTTATCTGCAGACGTGTGCCCAGCAGTGGGCTTGCTGGATCATATGGTAGCTCTGTTTGTGGTGGTTTAAGGAATCTCTGTAGTGTTCTCCATAGTGGCTCTACAAATTTACATTCCCCCCAGTGGTGTAGGAGGGTTCCCTTTTCTCTTTGGCCTCTCCAGCATTTATTGTTTGCAGACTTTTTGATGATGGCCATTCTGACAGGTGTGAGGTGATAGCTTGTTGGAGTTTGATGTCTCTAGTGATTAGTGATGTTGAGCATCTTTTGTTTTTTGGCATTCTGTATGTCTTCTTTGGAAAAATGTGTATTTAGATTTTCCACCCATATTTGGATTAGGTTGTTTTCTTGATCTTGAGCTGCATGTATATTTTGGAGATTAATCTTTTGTCTGTTTCATTTGCAAATATTTTCTCCCATTCTGAGGGTTGTCTTTTTGTCTTGTTTATGGTTTGATTTGCTGTGCAAAGTCTTAAGTTTCATTAGGTCCCATTGTTTGTTTTTATTTCCATTACTCTAGGAGGTGGGTCAAAAAGGATCTTGCTGTGATTTATGTCATAGAGTGTTCTGCCTTGTTTTCCTCTAAGAGTTTGATAGTGTTTGGCCTTACATTTAGGTATTTAATCCATTTTGAGTTTCTTTTTGTGTATGGTGTTAGGAAGTGTTCTAATTTCCTTCTTTTACATATAGCTGTCCAGTTTTCCCAGCCCACTTACTGAAGAGACTGTCTTTTCCCCATTGTACATCCTTTGCCTCCTTTGTCATACATTAGCTGACCATAGGTGCGTGGGTTTATCTCTTGGCTTTCTATCCTGTACAGTTGATCTATATTTCTGTTTTTGTACCAGTACCATACTCTCTTGCTTACTGTATAGCTTTGTAGTATACTTTGAAGTTGGGGGGCCTGATTCCTCCAGCTGTTTTTCTTTCTCAAGATTGCTATGGCTATTCAGAGTGTTTTGTGTTTCCATACAAATTGTAAAGTTTTTTGTTCTAGTTCTGTGAAAAATGCCATTGGTAGTTTGATAGGGATTGCATTGAATCTGTAGATTGCTTTGCGTAGTATAGTCATTTTTACAATGTTGATTCTTCCAATCCAAGAACCTGGTATATCTCTCCATCTGTTTGTATCATCTTTAATTTCTTTCATCAGTGTCTTTTATAGTTTTCTGCATACAGGTCTGTTGCCTCCTTTGGTAGGTTTATTCCTGGGTATTTTATTCTTTTTGTTTGAGTGGTAAATGGGAGTCTGCTTAATTTCTCTGATTTTTCATTGTTAGTTTATAGGCATGCAAGAGATTGGAAGTGGGCTTCTTGACAGTGGGCCCTGTTTTGAATTCTTTTTCGAAGAATTCATTGTACCTCTGGAAGTGTGCAGATACAGTTCTTCACTAGTCAGCTCAATTTGGGTTTCTGGCTTTCTCTCCTATGGGTGAAAGGACCTGCTGTTAAGTTCTGTTTTGGCTTGAGGCACTTTTTTCCACTCTGAATATGCCACTGGCTGAGATCAGGTAGGACAGCTGGTTTCTTTCCCTGCACCCGTGAGGCTGGAGCATCGGCTTCACAGCTGCCTGGATTCTCTGGTCAGGCTTGCTAGACAGTCAGGATGGCTACTCGACTCAGCAGTAGGTGAGGCTGGAATTACCTTCCTTGCCCTGGCAGTACCTAGCAGAATGGGATCAGAGAATGCACGGCTTATTTTAGGGGGAGCTGAAGAGTCAAGAGTGTGCACTGAATTCCTGATCAGGTGAGGCCACTAGATTTGCTATGCAGACAGTGAATGCCACTGGCAGTGCTTTCCATTCCCGTGTTACCTTAAGCAGGGTTGTTGACCGGCTATGTGGCTTCACTGGTTGGGCAGTCCAAAGGCTGTATTCAATAGCAAGTGCAGCTGTGGACTGGTGTGCTTTCCAGGGAAGCAGCTTTAAGGTTACTAATGCTTTGTTTGTGGTCTGGACTGTAGCCTACCTGTGCCCCAGCTTCCCTGTCAGAACAGACTCACTTGGGCCCTGCAGGTAGGGACTCAGGCTGTGGAGATCTGAGTGCTGGTTGTTGGAAGCCCTCTGGTCACAATCCGATTCTCAGCAGCTGGGCCTCACAGATTCAGCTGCGATCCTGGTGGAGCAAAACCAGAGTATCAGCACCTGCAAAGTGATGAGCACAATGCAGTGGGAGGGGGGAACAGGTGCTGGATGTCACTGGAGGGGCCAGAGCCTCAGGGGAGGCCGCTCCCTGTGGTACTGTGCCAGCCCCTGGAAGGGATGCTGGGATCAACGTGTGGCCCCTTCTTACCTTCAAACAGAGTCGGTCTCAGTGTCCATAGTGCAGGGCACTTCAGCCTCACTGCTGTGTTGTAGGATTTGTTCATGGTGTGTCTCTATGAATAGCTGTTCTTCTTTTGAGGGAAAGTGAAGCCGTGAACAAGTTGTGTCACCATCTTTATGACATCACTCTCCATACTCCTCCTTTCTTACTCTGTGTGGATACTTTTTCCTTTACTTCCATTTTGGTGGGATTTCAGTGGGGGGAACCAAAGTGCGTGCTCTCTTTACCCACAAGACTGTGAGCTGTAGTTCTTGCTGGAGATCTTTGCCCTCTTTAGAGAACCCAGGGAGGTAAGGGCAGGGATACATACCTGTAACGATGTGTGTGCTGGCTTGCAGGTGACCCTGTGGAAGGAGTCGGTTGACGGGCAGTGGGTGTGCATCAGTGATGTCAACAAGGGCCAGGGTTCTGTGTCCACTTCAGTCACAGAGGGTCAGCAGAATGAGCAGTGACAAGACAGGCACAGCCTGTTCTCTACCTGCTGCCTCCAGGACTGCCCCTTCGTGGGCCAACTGACCACACAGCTGGGAGGAAGAACACCCAGCTCCCACAAGATCACTTTCCTGGGAGTCGTTAAGAAATGCACCCAGATTATCATCTGCCTTAACATGATTTGATATGGTTTGTAATTTACTGTCCACCTGAACACACACTTGTTCTGAGGGAAAAACAACCATCAGCTCTATTATTTTAAGATATTGTTGGTCATTTTTATGTACCTTTTAGGTTCAGACATCATTTGGGGGGGTGGGGAATTGTTTCCAAAGTAATTAAATAAACTTGTATTGCTTATAATTCTTCCTGCATTTTTCTAACCCCTCCTTACAAAGCTCGTTTTACCTCTTGCTGGTTAGTGTCCTAGAACAGCATTACCAAGACCCAGGTCCCTATGGGCCTAGCTGAGTCCTGCCCACAGAGCTGATCTGTCACTGTGTAAGTCCTTGTGACTCAGTCTATGCTGAAGGCACCATACAAAGCTACACTTGGCCTTCAGGGATGGGACTGCAGCCCCCAGCTCTGCTACTTATCCTGAGGCTAATAAAGTCTGCCCTGCACATACAGTGGAGTATCAACCATATCCCAAGAGTTTACAAGACTGAAGAGGAAAGCAGGCACAATTCACCTGGTTTTCTGCCGTCAGTGGAAGGAGCAGCTCACCAACACTGAAACAAGGATCACATCCAAGGGGAGGCCCTGGGACCCTGAAGTGAAACAGCAGGTCACGGCAGTAGCTGAGACCTGTATGAGTGGCATGAACTTGGAGCTTTCACACGTGAAGCAGCACAGCAAACCTGTGTAGGAACAAACCCCCAACTTACTGGTGAGGAAACTGGCAAGAAGGTCAAGAGCTGCCCTGGGCTGTCCACCGCCATGTGCCAGAGGCAGGGTTGGCATCCTAATCAGTCTCAGCTCAGAAATCGGAACTCTCAAGGCTGGAATCCAGGACCTGCTGCTGGGGCTCCTCAGCCGTAATCGGGGAGTGGAGCTCACGCCGGGCCTTTATGTGCGCACACACCAATGAAAGGGCAGGCCGCTCACTGCAGGAGGTTCTGTGCACAGCTAAGTGTGGACCCCTCTTCTGCCTGTTCTTTGTCCATTTTTCAGCAGCAGAATCCCTGTTGTGAAATAAATCTTACATCATAACATATAAAATTGGAAAAAGTGCAACTACATTGGTTCAAGTGAGGAAAGAGGGCCTGCCCACAAGACCTCCTCCCAAGGCATTCCGCAAAATCCTAGCCTGCACAGAACAATAGGAAAATTGCTACTCCCTCCCTAACATTATTCAGATGCGAAAAGAAAGGCCAAGGAATCACCTTTGCTCGGGCTTCTCAATGGACACAAATTACACTGAATTCTAGTTAGCTCTACGTATCTGCCTTCCTTAACAAGCTCCGTGCTCCCAAGGGCAGGCCTGGTCCTCCTTACAGTGCCATATACAGATGATTAATGAGAAGGGACTGGTCCCATGTCTCACAGTGGGTTAGTGATAGCTTCTTGGGCTCCTGGCCATAGGCTGTGTTTATAGCTTACACCATCCCATCGAATAATCTGGAAGTAAATGAAATTACCACTGTCAACAGTTTATGCTTAGGGTGGTAACACGTTAGCCATTCCTGGGGTAAGGGAGATACCTCCAATTTTTTACAACAAAACAGGCCAACCAAATGCAATGCCATGTTGTGTCCATCTTCAGGGCAGTTGCCAAGCCCAAATGAGAGGAATGTAAGGGTAATTTAAAAGATATACAGAGAATTCTAGTTAGGGCAAGATGGCAGTAGCAGCCACACTGATTTTCAATCCTCTCACAAAAGCAAAGCAACTAGGATAGCAAAAGAAACCCCTGGGCTTTTGACATTAAGGTAGCCCCTCAAACTCTGAATCATCAAGGAGCAGGGCCAACCATTCATAAGGGGGAGATTTCCACTTCCACACAGGAAGGATTCACAGCTCCAAGAGTTTCCCTCAAGCCATTAACAACTCGAAAAACACAAAATCCATGAAACAACTGCTTTCCGATGTAGGACAACAGGCAGTGTTTGGAAGAAGAGGAAAAAGTGGGTGTGGGAAAGGGAGCACCACAATGGCCGCAGCTTTCTTCCTGGAGGCAGTTCCCAGGAAAGGGCAGGGAAATTGAATCCAGAGCAGCCTCACTGAGTTAAAAAGACAGATGAGAGTTCAGAAAGGCAAAGGTAGCATTTACACAGCAGAGTACTAGAGAAGAGCGAGCTGCTCAGAGATAGCCAGCTCCTCGGACCTGCAGGAGGGTCTCCTAGACTTTTGACCAAGTACTAACCTGCTTACGGGAAGGGTCAAACTCTCGTGACCAAAGAGCAGTGGGCCAAGCAATTCCTGGAACTCAACAGAGGGCGAGTAGTTCACGTTCCCAAGAACC